TTTTAAGACAAGATGGAGTTTCGGGCCTGACTTACTTTTTTACTTTGCTCACGAGGACAGGACAGGATTTGAAAGGAGATGATAACCCATTGTTAAATAGCGACTCTGCAGATATGTAAGAACATTGGCGAGGACAAGTTTACAGGGCTATGGGGAGAGGGGGAGTGGGAATGAATTGGAAGCTCTTTTCAAAGAGCCGGCACAGACACGATGGGCTGAATGGCCTCCTTCTGTGCTATATAATTCTATGATTCTATGATTTATTCTGCAACTTCTTGCATGCATGTTACTGAAATTATGCTTTTATTGAGTTTGATGATGTCTCACAGTGTACTTTCCTTTCCTTGCCGCATAAATCCAACTACTTGAAACTGATTAATGGATCACAAGCACAGTTTAACTGCGACCAGTGCTATTACCCAGCAGCCGAAATCCATTCATTACAGTGATCCATTAATAATTTACAGGAGATTATTGCACTGTGTATATTGGAGAATAATTGTTTCATAAAAGAACAATGTTTTTCAAAGGTTTAAAGAGAGAAACAGTACAGAGTCCAATATTTACACTAATGGATATCAAAACAGTGCAGATATCAGATCTGTGTGTGTGTGCATACTCTGTCTGCCTCTGTTTCTTTTTTGGGTCAGCCGGATGTCTGACACATGGGGATTCCATCACCGTGCTTAATATTATTGATATTTTTATTATTATTATAAGGCAGATAATGTTATGGAGGCAAGGGAAATGTGAAAGAGTGGGAGCCTGAATGTAGGGTTTGAAAATTGGAAGTCAAACAAGACACTAAGGTTCGCTTTGTGAGGGGGGAGTGTGAATCCATGCTGGTTGATATAATCAACCCCTGAGGTGAGAAGGCACTGACGGGAGCAAAGCATAAGAGCCTCATCTTCTGATGTAAGTCCCCATCACACAGTCCTTACAGGCTCCATTGCTCCCAATCACCAAACAGATCAACTTCAAGATCTTCTCACTCATTTTCAATTCCCTTCATGCCCTCACACCTCCCTGTCTATCCAGCCTGCTTACCCCCACTCCACCACCTCCGCTCTGCTGGCTCCAGCCTCCTATTTGTCCCTTGTCCCCTCTGCTCCATCATCGGTGGCCGTGCCTTCAGCCACTACACCCCTAATCTCTGGAACTCTCTCCCACAATCCCTCTGCCTCCTCCCTCCCTCTCCCCTGACTCTGCCACTGTGAAGAACTCAGGGACGCTATCCCGAGTGAAGGGCACTATATAAATGCAAGTTGTTGTTGTTATCTTGTCCAAAATTCATAACAAAATGATGGTGAAAATAGAGAAAATGTTGGATCAATTAATGACGATAGAAAAGATTTTATGCTAATCTTAAAATAAATCTAAACTAAAAGGATAAGTATTCTATTTTGATAATATGAAAAGGCAAGCTTGGTACTAAATGTTTCAAACAAATACAAACAAAACAGCTTGTATCTTTTATATATCCTAACTTATTATTGATTATAGCAATTCGAATGAATTACATTTTGCTGATTCCCAACAATTAATTACTTATTTACGTAGGACTAGGCCGATGTAGGATGCATTTTAAGTGTTCTTTAATTATTTATTTTCCAAGGGCAGTTCTTCAGAGATGCAATCCATTTATAAAGTGCTTAGACTGCAGATTAGGGTAACAGAAAGAAGGCCACAGCAGGAAGTGCCAATCCTGATTTGCATCACCCAGCTGTTCAATAGCTGTTCAATTCAAAAGGCTTCTTATTTATTGTCTTTATGCAGACACAGTTGGCCCATCTTCCAATTTTGTATTGCTAAGATACGTCTTTCATAGTGGACACAAAGCTGGCATTTGTAACACCATCATTGGGAAAGAGTGTTGCCAATCGGCCTCAAATGGATTTGATTTGCTTTCTATGTCGTAAAAGGAGAAAATTTGGATAAATTTTCATTCAAATTGTGCGGGTACTGTACTTCTGTGCATGTTACTTTTCTTGTGCTTATAATGTGGGTATTTCTGGGTTAGGGGATTTAAAAGCAATGCTTTTGAATTTAATAATAATAATCCTTGCATTTCATATAGTGCCTTATCATGTCTTCGAGACTTCTCAAAGCACTTCACAGAATATACTCTAAAGTGAATTGACTGTACATTTTGTGGGCAAAACACGGCAACCAATTGAACACAGCAGTGTCCCACAAACAGCCGTGAATTCAGTGACCAATTTTTTTTTGAAGAAACTATTACCCCCAGAAAAGTGATCCACCAATCGACTAACAACCTGATTCCAACTTACTGCTAGGAAAACAGAGGTGTGTGGAGTAAGGAAACCTGTCCAACATTTCATCCTGCCGGGAATCAAATCCAGGTCTCTCGCTTGCAAGGCGAGTGCTCTAACCACTAACTACAGAACTCTACAAATTAGATTTAAATTGATGGGCAGCCCTGATAGCACCTTGTGGACCAGGAATTCAAATGGTTCAATTCTGACTGTTCATTTCTCTTTTAAGTCACTTTCTCTCCTCTGCCAATAACAACAAACCACACTTGTATAGCACCTTTCACGTCGGGATATCCTTAAGCGCTGGACACTCAAGGATGTGCAACCGAGCTGGGGGTTGGGATCAGGAGGAGTGGAGGGCAGAGAGAGGGTGGGGAGAGGACGGTGACCGCATGGTCGAAGAGGAAAGTCTTGAGACGGGCCTTGAAGGAAGCAAGGAAGGGAACGAGGCAAAGGGACTGCGGGATGGAGTTCAAAAGATTGGGGCAGAAAGCTGAAGGCCCGACCGCCGATGTGGGCGTGTCAGGCTGATGACTTGAGTCCACTGAGCTGAGGGATATTTTCAGCTAATAACCTACATTTATAGGCCTTCTTTACTTTCCACAGAGCTTTCTGAAACCAAACGGTGCTCTCCTATCAGAACAGACTAGGCTTTCTGGAATAAACCCTGTGACACTTTCTCTGTCACTTAAGGTTGTTCAGAAAACCACAGATTCTTTGCCAAGTGGCTAGTCTACAGGAACGATGGACAATCTAAGCAAGGATCTCAGGTAGGTAGCACCAATTTATTATATACACAAGACCAACTGTCTACAGGTGTCCACAGGGCTTCCAGCCTATTTGAAGAACACTATGTAAATTCTTGTAATTTACACTATGTAAACAAGTTATTCTTGTTCATTCCTGACAGTTAGTTACCCCCTTGGCTTGTCAGAAAGGTACCCAAAGCCCCCAAAATCCACTGAGCCTGCATTTTGTCCTAAAATTTACAATCACACAGATTGGTGGAAAATTCAATTCACTTTTAGTATTCGAAAATGGTTTATAATAATAAATAATCCTTGCATTTGATATAGCACTTTTCACATCTTCTAGACATCTCAAAGCGCTTCACAAAATGTACTGTAAAGAGAATTGACTATATATTTTCCTTGAGAAAGTACTATCAGGCATGTAGAGTAAGGAAACTTGCCCAAGGTTTTACCCTGCTGGGAATCAAACCAGGTCTCTTGCTTGCGAGGCGAGTGCTCTCACCACTGAGCTATAGGACTTCACACCTGAGCTATTGGATTTCACGATTTATAACAGGTCTTTTAAAAGAACTGGCTTCCAAACAAGGTTAAGATTAAACAATTTCCCCAAATTCTGTACAAAGTTAAATCTTAAAACAAGATTGTTTTATAGGCTAAGACAAGGTGGAATTTTAGGTCTCTGCTGTTCCATTCAATTAGCCGAGAAAATGGATCCTCCATAATTTGATGTAATGCTCCAATAAAAAGCATTTAGTTTACCCACTTTATAAAGCTTTGCATCAGGAAAACTTGCATCAGTTTAGACTCTTATAGCAATCTTCTTCTCAAGTATATGACATGATAGTGTAAAACTATGGCTCTGTGATTAAGTGGCCAGAAATATCCAGATATTAAGATGGCGCAATACTGGGCTTCCAGCCCCACATCAGGACTTTGAGCTCACTGCTGGGATGGTGCCATCCTTCAGATGAGATATTAAACCAAAGTCCTGTCTATCTTTTCACATAGATATTAAAATATTTCATCACACAATTCAAAAAAAGGGAGTATCTCTCAGTGTCCTGGGTAACAAGCCCCCAAATAAAAGTTTTCTATGAAGTGTAATGATTGCGTATTTGTTTAGCATGGCAGCCAATTTGCACACAATAATGTCCCACAAACAGCAATGAAGTAAATGACTAAAATTTACATTTTATTCTATCTGGGGAATTGTTGTTTAGAAAACTGGGAGAAACTGTCTTCTCTATTTGAATAGTGCCAACAGACCTTTAACATCCATCTAAAAAGGCAAACAGAACTTGAATTTTAAGATCTCATTCGAAGGACGACACCTCCAACAATGACAGTTCCCGCAGTACTGCATTGTAGTGTCAGTCTGGACTATATTGACTTGCCAGGTTGTTTCTAGCTATGCAGTAGGAGTTTCGATGTCTGCTTATGTTACTGACAATAATTAAAATTTGTCCATTGTTGCAATGAATTACTGTCTGTCAGCAGCAGAAGATTAGACATTATACCAAAACTCAACTAACCTTAACTACAGCATCACACCGTACTTGTGGAGTCCTGTAACTCAGTGGTTAAAGAACCTGCAAGCGAGAGGACCTGGGTTCGATTCCCAGTCAGGGCAAAACGTTGGACAAGTTTCCTTACTCCACACGCCTCTGTTTACCTAGCAGTAAGTAGGAACCTGGTTGTTAGTCGATTGGTGGATCGTTTTTCCGGGGATAATAATCCCTTAAAAGAAAAAAAATTGCTCACTTAATCCACGACTGTTTGTGGGACACTGCTGTGTGCCAAGTTTCGTCCACAAAACAGACAATGCACTTTACAGTATATTCTGTGAAGCGCTTTGAGACTCTAGAAGATGTGATAAGGCGCAGTATCAAATGCAAGGATTATTATATTCATTATTCATACTTGTGATAATCTATTCAAACTGACCAATGATTTAACAATGGCAAAAGCTCACCGTAAAACAGGAATGCTTTCGTCATCTCATGATTCTGGTAGTTCCTTTTCATAGTAAAGAAGCAAGTGTCTGCCCCACACTGGCTCAATCGCCCAGGTTCTCCAGTCAACAAAGACCACCACACAATAATGGGATCTTGAATGCTGAGATCAGAAAACCTTTTCAATCTGTTTAGTAAATGCTTTGTTTCATTCTCATGGCTCCAGGATTGCTGCTTTTCAATCGCCAGTCCATCGCTCAGTAAATGTGCATTTAGTACTTTCTTTTGCTCAAACTGTCCCAGTTCAACCACCACCTGCAAAGACAAAGGTTTGGTCATACAATGGTACGATGAGGGAGAAATTCCCCCAGGGTCTAGATTTTACTCTTATCTCTTAGCACTTCAAGAGAGTCCAGAATTATTTTTTGAATTCGGTCTTTACTTTGGAGTCAGTTTTCTGTAATTCTTATTATGGAGTCCTGTAGCTCAGTGGTTAGAGAACTCACCTCACAAACGAGAGACCTGGATTTGATTCCCGTCAAGGCCGAAACATTTACCTCTTTTTACCAAGCAGTAAGTAGGTTGTTAGTCAATTGGCGGATCGCTTTTCCGGGGATAATAATTCCTTAAACAAAATTGGTCATTCAATCCACGGCTGTTTGTGGGATAATTGGCTGCCACGTTTCACCCACAAAATTTCACGCCTAATAATAATCCCTCCAAAAAAACAAAACAATAATAAATTGGTCATTTTCAATCTACGACTGTTTGTGGGACATTGCTGTGCGCAATTGGCTGCCGCGTTCGCCCACAAATGTAGTCAATTCACTTTACACTGTGTTCTGTGAAGTGCTTTGAGACATCTCGAAGACATGGTAAGACGTTGTATCAAATGCAAGGATTATTATTATTATATTATTTAAAATATTTAAAATTGTTCTTTCAAAAATTGCCAAATTCTTTACCATGCTTCATTACCATAGTATGTTCTGAAATGCTAAGTAGAATAAATCTCTCCCACGGAGTCCAACACAATAATTTAAATTGCATGCAATACTCTTGAATTCTAAAGAACCGGGGAGAGTTGGAAAATCAGTTGTTTGCAATAAAAGTCAATATAACTAAATAATCCCCACTGGAAAATCCTTCCAGCCTATATTACTGTTGTTCCAACTGCTCACCCTACTGGTTATTTATGAAAGTACGTGGACAAGGTATTGTATTCAAGGATTAAAATTAATATTTGGGGCAATGCAACTAGAATGGCATCGCTTTCTACATTAACAAGTGCAGTTTAGAACAGAAACTTCTAAAGACATGTATTCCAGCAGCTGCACAAATCTTCCTCTTGGTACGAGATGTGTTATCAGTTTATTTACAAGGAAACATCAAGTGGCAAGGTTGCTGCATTACCCGATCTGTCTCCTTCACAATCTAGTCATCCAGTTGGGAGATATGTAGTGAATAGGTTGAGCTGTTCATCAAATAGGGAAAGCGTTCCCACAAAAATACATTTCTACAGCAATGAGGGAAAGCTTTATGATAAGCAGGTGGCACTTAAGAGAGTTATCAATATCAGTCAGTGCAGGAGCACTGAAATACAGGCATCATTCCAGGTCTTTAATTAGAAACCAACGTTCAGAATAAAAAGCCCTTCCCATACAAGAGTTTGTAACACTTTTAAAACAATAATTTGGAAGAAAACACAAAATGTATATTTTAACAGCACATAAACCCTGCAGTTATATATTGGTTGGTATGTGTGTGTGTATGTTAGAGATTGTGACAAGTTTAATGGTTTCCAACAAATACCTAGCACAAAGGAAATACACTATAATAATAATACTTGCATTTGATAGAGCGCCTTATACCTCCAACATTATCCACTTGTACAGGAAAATGAAATGACTTTTCTATTTTGCTGACAAAGGGAAAACCAGAAGGATTGCTTTTGGGATTTAGACCAGCTCTTATTTTACATGTACACAATAATTGAAAGCAGTGTTAACTATAGATGAGTCATCTGATAAGTGGTTGTTAAACCACCTCCATAAACCACCTGCGTTTAAAAAGCTTTCACTCTTCAGAATGTGCACTTATAGTGTGAACAGTGAAAGATGCTTATGAAATTTTGCTACAGGGATGGAATTGAAAAAAAACAGGGTTAGCATTCTATAGTCATCAAAACCTTCATAATTATAATAATACTTGCAATTTATATAGCTCCCGATCACGTCATTGAGACATCTCAAAGCACTACACAGAATACATTGTAAAGTGCAATGACTGTATTTTGTGGACAAAACACGGCAGCTAATTGTGCACAGCGGTGACCCACAAACAGTTGTGGATTGAGTGACCACATTTTCTCCCCCACTCTCTTGCTGAAGGATGCCCAACTCAACTGCCTTTCAATGCTTTGAACCCAATCCCTTGGAGATCAATGCTCCCAACTTTTCCCCTATTCAGTACGTAAAAAGGTTAAAAATGTATTGTCTAGAGGTCAAAAATGGGTGATTGTTTCAAACTCCGAAAGAATTTGGGTGAATAGGTGATGAAAGATCACTGACGAAAGGTCATCAACCTGAAACATTAACTCACTTTCCTCTCTCCAATAGATGCTGCCTGACCTGCTGAGTGTTCCCAGCAACTTCTGTTTTATTTTAGTTGGGTGAATAGACTGTTTAGATTTAACTAGTTTATGTAAAAAGTGGTTAACATATAGAACTGTTTCTCAAAGATGCCATGGAGGGAGATAGTGCAGTCAATTTCAAGAGGCAATTGGACAACCTTTTTGTCAGTGAAGGGGGATAGGAGATGTAAGATAGGAAGATAGCATTTGGATACAAAACCAGCCATCAGGCTGCAGTGGTTTCATCTGGTTTTGCACATTCCTAGCATATAAGTAACCTGGGTCAATAGAAAAGTGCAGCTGCAACTTTTCCGCGGAATCCGCTATAAACACCACCCTCCGCTATAAACACCGCCCTCCGCTATAAACAGCTTCCTCCGCTATATAAACACCGCCCTCCGCTATAAACACCGCCCTCCGCTATAAACACCGCCCTCCGCTATAAACACCGCTCTCTGTTATAAAAACAGCCCTCCGCTATAAACACCACACTCTGCTATATAGCATTATTTCCTCACGTTTAGTTTTTATCAATAAAGTGAAAAAATGTAGGTTGGCAGTAACATGTACTTCAATAGCACTAATCAACACCTCGCAACCCTTCGCAGAATTTCCAAATTTCCCTACAATTTGTGACAAATATTTCCACACTTTTCCATTGGCCTAGCTTATAACTGTTCTGGATTCTCAAATGTCCTAACACGGCCATCTCAGAGATATGGCATTTCCATAAAATAAGACAAGGGAGTTCTTTCAAAGAAGGAATAATTGGATATCAAATATGGTCCCGTGAGTGGTAGTGTTAAATTCTCCAATGCTCTTACCAATGCACTCAATCAGATTACAGAGATATTTCCCAAACTGTAGGGGAGTTTTGTTGCCCAACCTCTCAAACTTAGTTCAGGAATGAATAAAAAGATAGTTATAAGCTCACCCAATTCAGATATAAAGTTTATTTGATTTCTCTCTTCCTCCTCACCCTTCCACATTCTAGTGTATCAGAGGTGGAGCAGTAAGTGTACAGACAAGAGTTCAGTTGTGTGAGTACCTAATCCACACAGTTATGAAATGCATCTCTTCTGCTGGATACAACCAAAAATTTTTCTTCATGCATTTTGCCTGATAGTCTCACTTATTAAAATAGCACCCCCATCACCAGCCAAGCACTACACCCAGCCTACTTCGCTGAGCCAAGCCAACACCTAAGTCTCAGGGTTAAAGACCAATTCTTATCCAGTCAGTAAAAAATGATGCCATTTTGTGTTGTTCAATGACAAGTATTTTCAAGAAAATAAATTATTAATGTGTCTCTCAACCGCTTTCGTCCCTCAACACCCAGCCCATCACAGCATTAAAATTGCAGCATTGGTAAAATTTGCTGTTTTTCAATGTATGCCTTGCCAAATGGTGCAGCGTAAAAGTAACATAGTAGGCATAATAAAAGGTTAATGAAACCTTAGACGTATACCAGGAACAATGGAGGGGGATAATACGTGGTCCATTGGCTGTAAACTACAGGACTTGCATCAAGAGACAGGAACTGAAAGAATCTGATCAATAGAGGAAGGAAAGCGAAGAAGGAATAACAACTACAACAACAACTTGCATTTATATAGCGCCCTTCATGCAGGGTAGTGTCCTGGAGTGCTTCACAGTGGTGGAGTCTTACAACAAGCTAGGAGGAGAGGGATGGGGGAGGTGACTGGAAGCACGATCAAAAAGGGAGATCTTTTTTAGGTGGGATTTGAGGAGGGGAGGAATCCTAAATTGATATAGCCTGCAACAAGAGAGCAAAATGTAACCAATATGCATCAGCAAAGTAAGCACAGCAGCCACTTTTAATTATTTTCTACAAAATGATTGGTTATATAACAAGACTCAATATTATTGACTAACAGTATACTAACCTTCTCTAGTTAAGCATCTAAAGCAATCCTATTCTTCCCCATCATTCTTATGGAAATTGAGCTCAAGGGAAGAGCTGGGTTTACTATAAAACTGTCTGAATTATTTTTCTCAATGCATCCATTCATTCATTCATTGAAGCAACTGCTTATAAGATATAAAACTGACCCTAGGGAAACTGAAATAACAGTAGATGTTAATAGTACTATACGTGGAAATCACCACTAAACATGACCCCTAGCAAATCTTCTATAATCCGCTCTGCAATGCAGAAACAGGAATACTGTACAACAACTTCCATTTATATAGCGCCCCTCACCTCACGCAGGGTAACGTCCCAGAGCGCTTGACATTGGTGACAGTAGGCATAGTCGAAGAGGAAGATCTTCAAGTGCGACCTGAAGGAAGGGGCAAGGCGGAGGGATAGAGGAAGTGTACTCTCAAATAAGCAAGTAGGAATTGCAAAACCAAGGACATGAAATAACAGTGAACTTACATTTCCTAAAATACACCATTAGATTTAAAATCCAATACAGCTGCAAGTTAATAAAACTAGAGTTGCATTAGAGTAAAAGTAATACATAAACATTCTCAAAACTAAATGTCACACATTAGACAGAAGGTTGTTCGTAGATAGCAATGTGTAATTTGTGTGTCAGCCAGGCTCAGATGGTAGCACTCTCACCGCTGAGTCAAAAGCTTGTGCGTTCAACCTCACATCAGGACTTGGAACTGACATTGTCTAAGGTGACACTCCAATGCAGTGCTGAGGGAGTGCTGCATTGTTGGGAGGTGCCGTCCTTTGGATGATATGTTAACCCGAGGCCCTGTCTGCCTGTTCAGGTGGATGTTAAAGATCTCATGATACTATTTGAAAAGAGAAGGAAGTTTCTCCTGGTGTCTTGGCCAAAAATTGCCCTAAATAAAAATTCACTTCATGGCTGTTTGTGGAACATTGCTGTGCCCCCATTTTCCTGGCCACAGCCCAGATTCATATTACTGTAGTTCTACCAGTGCAAACTTTCAGCAACATCTGCTTACCTCTGAACACCTTCCTCTTCGACCATGCACACTCCCATCCTCTCTGCCCTCACCCCTCCTGACTCCAACTCCCAGCTCGGGTCCAAAAAGCCCTGATTGTCTAGCTCCCTGGGACATCTTTCCGACTGGAAGGGGGCTAATCAAGTGTAAGTTGTTGTTGTTAAAGGCAGGCACTAATAAGCTCCAGATGTATATGGGAAAAAGAATGAAGAGAACAAGTATATGCTTGGTGGTAAAATATTAAAAGGAGTGGAAGAACAAAGGGACATGGGGTTTAATGTACATAAATCCTTAAAGGTGGGATGGTTGGTGGAAAAAGCTGTCAAAAAACAGAATCGTAGGTTTTATGAATAGGATTATAGAATATAAAAAGCAAAGAAGTAATGCTAAACTTATATAAATCATTAGTAAGAACTGCAGTTAGAATACTGTAGAATACTGTGTACGGTCACCCCACTTTAGGAAAGATATCAAGGCAACAGAGGAATAGAGAGGAGATTTATTAGGATGATACCAGGGATGAGTGGTTTGGCCTATGAACTGGAGGAACTGGGACATTTCCTCCCTGAAGGTTGTGGGATGACCTGATAAAGGTCTTTAAAATTATGAGGAAATTTGATAGTCAGCAGGGAGTAGAGTTTTTCACTGGTCAGTGAGTCAGTAACTAGAGGGAATCAATTTAAGATAGTTAGTAAATAAGCAAATGGAAAAAATGTGCATGCACAGAGTAGTTTGGATATGGAATGCCCTGCTGGACACAGTATTTAAGGCAGAATCCAAATTGGCCTTCAAGAAGGAACTAGACAAATACTTTCAAAAGAGTCAGCTCAAGGGCTATGGGAAAGGGCAGGGAAACGGGATTGAAAGGAATGCTTTTGAGGGAACAAACACAATGGGCCAAATGGCCTTCTTTGGTGTCGTAAATTTCTATGGTTCTAACCTGTATTTTAGGAAATCTCTTCCAGCAGCCGTCATCCCAAGCCTCAAAGTTTCCTCATCAGCTAATTGAAAGACAATGTGTCTTCAGTGTGGTGGGAGGACCTATAAAGGGCAGTTTGGAATGTGCCAGCCACCTTGATGTTTTTCTCACTTCACAAGTTAGTCTATTTGCTTAGAAGATTCCACGTTAGTCAGTGCAAGTTGATATAGTGCCTAATCACGTCTTTGAGACACCTCAAAGCGCTTCACAGAATATATTGTAAAGTGAATTCACTGTTTATTTTTTGGACAAAACGCGGCAGCCAATTGCACACAGCAGTGTCCCACAAACAGTTGTGGATTTAGTGACCAAATTACTTTTATTTATCTTCTCAATACACACATCTTGTCTGTAGAAATTCAACCTTCTCCAGATTTACTCTAAAAACATAGCATTTCAGAGCAACCAAACAAAATTGGTCAAATTTGTCAATAATCTTTTATGTTAAATCTGGTTTTCTGCAAGATATTTTAAGAACCATGGAAAAACAGCTTCAAATTTACAACTGAATTCCAATTTGGCAAATTTGATATTCTATGTTATTTGACAAATAATAATAGTCCTTGCTTTTGACATAGTGCCTTATCACGTCTTCAAGATGTCTCAATTTAAACCCAGGTTGAATTTCTACACTTTGATATTGCTTGAGGTGACACTGGCAATATTATTCTAGTTGTACGTCAAGGGCAGGCAGATAAATATGAAAGAATTTATATTATAATTCCCATTGAGAAAGAGGAACAAGCCATGTGTATAACAAGAGTCAATTTGAGACTTTGTGGCAGCAAAGCCTTAGAGGTTAGTAGAGTCAACGCCACCACCTGCAACAACAATTTGCATTTATGTGGAGCCCTTGCATAGGGTGGGGTTCCAGAGCGCTTGACTTTTCAGTCAGTCGGTGAGTCTACAATTGCTAGGAGTTGATCGCAAGGTTGCGATGGTGTAGACTTGGTTTCACAGATACTGAAGGTCAGGAATCTAGAAGTGAATGTTAATCTATGGGGCCCAGGGGCCCTCTGTGTGTGGAATGCTTGCGTTCTTCATTGTACGCTGTGTTACACTACTCTTTATCGTGACTGCTAAGAATGAATTGTCTTCCAGCCGTCTGCTTATTTTTCGTGATTTCTCCCCTTGCCTTTCGCCGAAGACGGATTCATTAATTAATTTTGCCCACAAAATATACAATCGATTCACTTTACAATATATCCCGTGAAGCGCTTTGAGATGTCTCAACGGGGTGATAAGGCGTTATATCGGGCACTAAATCACCGCCTAGGCGTGGATTCCTGTAACTTACTGGTTACAGCACTCGCCTCGCAAGTGAGAGGACCCTGGTTCGATTCCTGGGCAGGGTGAGTCGTTGGGCAAGTTTGCTTACCCCTCACGCCTCTTACCTCACAGTGAGAAGGAACACGGTTGTTAGTCGATTTGTGGATCGCTTTTCCAGGGATAATTATTTAAAATAAATAATAATAATTTGGTCACTCAATCTATGACTGTTTGTGGGTCACTGCTGTGCACAATTGGCTGCCGCGTTTCGCGCCACAAAATATACAGTCAATTTGTTTCACAGTATATTCTGTGAAGTGATTTGAGATGCCTGAACGGAGTGGAGTGATAAGGCGCTATATCAAATGCAAAGATTATCACTATTATTATAAATAATATGGGAAATAAAGTTAACAACTCTATAACTAGAAAACATGTGAATTTATGTGATTTTACATTACATCAGAAAAATATCATAACAACAGCCAAAAGATCAAGTCCGCGTTGGTTAGTGGAAAACTTTCGAGGATTAGCGCTATTATTATTATTTTTTAAAAGAAAGGGTTAAATGCAGTGATGCAGTACTGGTACTGCTCTCGAGTTCACAGAGGTACTTTGCAAAGTTTTGCAAATCGTGGCCTAACTTTGCAAATTGATGTTGGGTGCAATCGAGTGCACCCTAACCCTAACCCTCACCCCCCCCACCCCCAACCCCCACCCCAACCCCCCCCAACCCCCCTCACCCCCACCCCCCCCCCCCAACCCAAAACCATAAACTGGATGAGAGTGATGACGGAAGGTGCCCTCACCCCACATACCGACTGTATCCAGATGACAGCTGATCAACCATTAGACAGGACACACACACACACACACACACACACAGGTATTAACACACGGGGGGGTGGGGGGGGGGAGACATTGAACAAATGCAACAAGGAGAGAGGCGGTGATTTAAAATATTCCAACCTGCAAAGTTACAAAGAAGAAAAGCAGAGCGGAGCAAACCAGACAGCACAGCCCCAGCCCCAGCCCCAGGCCCAGGCCCAGCCCGCGGGGCCCGGACCCGAACCCGGGCCGCGAGCCTCCGCTCAGCTCTCTCCTGGGACTCCGGTACATTGTCACAGTGTCACTGCAGCAATGGGGATTCCCCCGTCCCGCCCCCGCCCGCCCGCTCCCTCTGTGACGCCATCACCCGTCGCGGCCTTCCATTGGCCAGCCGAGCTATCAATCCACCCGCGGCCGGCCGTCGCCCGCTGTGAGCCGAGCTGCTATTGGTCGGCTCGGCCGTCGATCAATCCGCGCGGCGTTAAGCGATCCGCTATTGGCCGGCGCGGATGTCAATCAATCAAACTATCAACCACTCCAGGTGCGGGTGGTCGGACCCGGTGGGCGTTTCCTTCCCGCCCCTTGTCCTCTGCACACGAGGCGGCACTGTAATGGGTGGACTCCCCCCACAAAAACCACCAAGAACCTGACTCCTGGCGGCGATTTGACTCATGTTTGGAAATTGTTCACTTCTCACCGGGAAGGCAACTGCGGTTTTAGTTTGAGAAACGATAACAAAAAAAAAGTCATTCTTGCGCTCGCTATCGCGCCTCAACACGTCGCTGAGACGGTTCAAAGCGCTTCATGGGATACACTGCAAAGTGAATTGACTGTATGTTTTGGCGGTGAAACCCGGCGGCCAACTGAGCACCGCAGCCTCCCACAGACAGCCATGGATTGAGTGACCAATTTATTATTATTATTTGTTTTTATGGCCCGCGTGAGCACACAGCCCGGCCGCCGCCCGTACTCATCAGCAACGTACTCTTATCGCTGCTGCCCGCTTTAACCACTTGAAATGTTGGCAAGTGTGTGTGACTGGTAAATATGTTTGTGTTGTGCTGGCAAACTCACTGAGACAAAGGTGAGTCATCAAGTGTTCTTTATGTTCATGTTGATTCAGTGGTAGATAAGTCGTACGGTGTTGCTTTCTGTCTCAGGCAATATGTTATATTAGTCGAGAAAATAAAGTCCTCTTGTTCAGTTGGATGATAAGATCCCACGGCACGATTCAAAAAGAGAAGGGAGCTTCTCTGTTCCAGTGTCCTTGTGAACAAACCCCAAATAAAATTGGTCATTCACTTCGTGGCTGTTTATGGGACATTGCTCTCGGCCACTGGTAGCTAAGCCATGGCTGGAAGTGGCCCGTGGGTCCATGAAGAAGTGGCCCGCGGCACATTCACCTCGGTCCAGGTGAGTCCGTTCCAAACCAATGGCTGGTTCCAGTAACTACCGAGCGGTGATACCCTTGGCTCAGCCATAAATGAGGAAATGTTCAGTCAAGAACATTTAAATGGTTGGCTGACCAAAAATGTTAGCCAACACTGCTCTACGCAAATTTGTCTACTGCATTCGCCCACAAAAACAGTCACTACATTTTACAATATGTACTGTGAAGTACTTCCAAAGGGAAAGGCACTCATCCAAAATGCAAGGAATATGATTATAACACATTCAATGTAAAACCACAATTTCATTAAATCATACGCATGAGGTACCTTGCAATGGAAACTGTTTCCCATCTAGTCCTGCTCATTGGACGTGTTTCTTATTATGAATCGTTTGAGAGCTATCTGGTCCAAGCCCAGAGCTAAGGACTCAGGAACTGGTGATAGTAATGGGGTGTGGGGAGGTTGGCTCTAACATTATATGTAGTGGGAATGATCGTGGATATCAAAACGTATACAAAGGAAGCTGGAAATTCTCTTAAAGAAAGAGAAGTCTAGAAGT